TACCCAATAAAGATGGTCTCGGGTTAGAACATGTTCTTAGTCGACTTTGAATTCCACCTCCACATTCCTCACTACAGAGTCCCAAGTTTTCCCAAGTTGACCATCCACCATCTAAAAGGGAAAACACTGTAAAGAAGTTTTTATGTCATAAAGTTTTTTATTCATGCATATTATAAACGAAATATTAATAAGTAAAATGCATTTACCTGGTGGTTACTGGGACATATTTAAATGAAATAATTTGTTGACCTGTCAGTTTCTTTGAAGCAAGAATTTTAGAAAACACAATGCTAGAAATACCTTTGTTGCAGGTAAACGGCGAAGAAAATATGCATAAACAAAACAGTCACGTGAGCACGCTCCGTTGTTTTTTTATATGGATTACTCAGGAAACTTCACTGTCATATGACATCACATTAGCATGTAACAAGCGTGCCAAAATGGTTTCCTCTCGACAGTACAGTGCTTTATTAACGTCTGTACTACCGACACTTTTCACTTCAGCTTCTATTGTGCCAATTATGTTGCTTTTAGTTGTTGAAAGCCCGTCATATTCTGTCAACAAAATACCACATTATTATATCCGCATACAAGCTTCTTAACTCGGAAAACTATCCTATGTATGCTGCCAAAATATAATTAATACCGTTAAACAAGAGAACAGTGCTGGTCTATGTATCATTCACCTGACTTAAGAAGAATTTGTAATAGAAAAACCAACATCCCCCGTCTCGGGGAAGTTTTATATGAAGCATAAAATTGTGCTATTTCAAAATATTGAGGTATGGATCTCAGGACATTCAGTCCAAAATTATGATCAATGCTAGATCTGAAAATGCAACAATAAATTTATACGAGAAATAAAATGAAACACGGACTTTAAAAATGTATCATGTTAAGCTTTGACTTATAAGTGTGACTTTGACCTTGTATGAAGGGGTGCAGGTGTTGTGCATGACATATCATCTTGTTATTGTTACTATTTGTGCCAAGTATTTTCAAATCGCTTGAACATTGAAGAAGTTATAGATCGGACATAAAATTTACCCTATAACCGACTATGTTAATTCTTGACCCCTAAGCATGACCTTAGAAGTAGAGACCCATGCTTTGCGACTCACATATCGTCTTATTATTGTGATAATTTGTGCAAAGTATTTTTAAAATCCCTTGATCTATGAAAAAGTTATGGACTGGACACAAATTATACCCTAAAAAACACACTATGTAAATTTTTCATCTCTTAGTGTGACCTTGACCTTGAAGGTAGGGACACAGGTGCTACGCATATCATCTTATCATTGTGACATTTTGTATCAAGTATTTTCAAAATCCCTTGATCTATAAAAAAAGTTATGGACGGGACACAAAATATACCATATAACAGACTCTGTAAACCTTTGACTCCTAAGTGTGACTTTGACCTTGTATGTAGGGGTGCAGGTTTCATACTTGTCATATCGTTTAATTATTGTGACTATTTGTGCCAAGTTTTTTCAAAATTCCTTCACCTATGAAGATGTTCTAAATCGGACACAAAAAGTATTCTATAACGGACTATGTTAATTTTTGACCTGTTAAGTGTGACCTTGACCTTGGAGGTACGGATACAGGTGTTGAACATAACACATCGTCTTATTATAGAGACTATTTGTGCCAAGAATTTCCAAAATCCTTTGATCTATGAAAAAGTTGGACTGGACACAAAATATACCCTATAACAGACCATGTTAATCTTTGACCTCCAAGTGTGACCTTGACCTTAGAGGTCGGTGACCTGTTGTTGCATATGACACATTGACTCATTATTGTGAACAATTAAGGCAAGTATTTACAAAATCCCTTCAAAGATAAAAAGTTATGGACCGGACACGACATAAACCCCCAAACCGACAATATTGACCTTGAATGAGCAAGTGCGAGGTAGTTATTTCAAATTCCTTTCATAAATGATAAAGTTAGGGACAGGACACGAAAATTTAACGGACGGAAGAACAATCGGACGGAGCCTATTTCTATTTCTCCCTTTTTTCTTCGAAAAGTCGGGGGTCAAAAAAGCTGTAAAATTAATGATTATTTGATATTTTCAGAAAAGCAGTTATTTAGTCAAATACAAGTATTCATCTGAATAATATACAGGTAAAATGCGAGAGGTTGCTAATGAATGTTCATTGGTGCTATGGAAAATCAACGTTTGATACGGAAGTCAATGTTTGCTATGGAAGTTACATTTGTGGCTGAGAGAGATCAATGGCCTCTATGGAATTCAGTGTTTTATACATAAAAGTCAAAGGTCGCTATCGAAGTTACAAAACTGCACGTGTAAATATTTTTCCTAGCTTTTGCGATCTATAAATGCAGTGGACCGAAACCATTTGGTGAAACTTAGTAGAGCTTTATGCAAGATATTTTTTTCTGCTTAGTTTAATACAAATGGCGTTGTGGCTACATAAGAGATGCCATTTGAATGAAATGTGGAGAACAACGGACGGACGACATAAAGACAACCATACTCGAGCTAGGAAGTTAAATGCTCATGAATAAGTAAGCCCTCAAAATACTGTTTTTGTACTTCTCGAAAGTATTTGTCGTTTGGTGCCTGTTTGAGTTACCAAAATTATATTTAGCCGAACCCTCAAACAATAACCATTTGTAACGACTAAAGTGAAACAACTATTTTGTATGGAAGTGTGGAAACCAATTGAAAATAGGAGACACAAAACCAATTCATAATATTTATGTGTTACTGCATTTATAAAAATATTTATTTTAAATGAATCTATTGTGCATTTCATGCTTATTTCTTTTACGTGCCAATGTTTAAAGAGCTTTAATGCATTTATTAAAACATTGACCCGTCTGCAGAAGAAAACTAGTTTTTATTTTTGAGAGGCTCTATGTGCCTTTAAAGCATTTTTGCTAAACAATTTTCTTCGAATAATCTCAACTGAAATATCTGCCAATAATAAAATAATATATTGATTCATCACCTTCACTTGATGCCTTGTTATTTTTTCTGTCGAATGCCTCTTTGAAGCTTCTAACCACCTTAGACGGATATTTATTTTCAAAATCTCCTTCTGCATCATATCTTGTAGCTCCTAACAATCACAGTCAGTGTCACATTTCATTCCATTAACAATAATTGTAACCATAATAATGACAAGTTTTATTTTATCCATTCTTGAATGTTTTCATTCAACAATAAATTCAGTCTTATTACCCCTGCTTCAAATCATATACTGAGCATCTCAAATAGAATACTGCAAATTTATTTTAAATGTCCAAACAGATGTCTGCTTTCAGCGAATTTTACCTTCGCCTACTTTTATAATAGTTTGCAAAAAGAGGTGGAAGAACTTTTAACATGTTTTTTATCATCAACATAAGATTATTTTCTTCTTAGAAAATAACAAATATTTTCTATTCCACATAATACGTAGCATCTTAGAAAGTGCTAAACGAATGCAACATATTTACCTTGACCGAATTCTATTACACTCTTACATTTTAAAACCGAGACAACAGTTGATGTCGACGATAAAGTCGAATTAACCATACAGCCTCAACTTAAAAGGTTTCTTAAATACATTTCCTCAATTACTTCGAATTTAACATTATCAAAGAAGGAACAAATTTAAACTAGTGGAGAAATTCTTTTAAACCTTAAAGAGAGAATAATAATTGATATAAATATGATAAAAAGGGGGTCCTTCAAAAGTGAATTTTCTACTATTTAGGTCATTTCAAGAGCAAAGAGGTGATGTGTAATTTGAAGACTTCTGCAAGAACCGCATCATTTAAATTCAAATTCGTTTTGTAGTCTTTTTCCTGTGATTGTTTTAAATTTGTTGAAATAATTTGTTTTAACAGTATGATTGAGTTTCTTCCAAGTATGTTTTTTCACTTGAGAATTACAAAATATCTTGAGAATGTATAGAGGTTCGCTACTTCTTTGCTTAAGTTTTACGTCGCACCAACACGCTACAATTTTAAGCAATGATTCAGAATGATATCGGGGGATATGGATAAAGCTTTTTTGTTTCAAATATTTGTAGTATGTTTTGTTCAAATAATATAATTCACATAGAAAAGAAAATAGATATAACAGTTAATGTATATGATGGTCAAAAGTGCAACCGGTCACCTGACAAAAAGGTCAGTCCCCAAAAATCCAGGAAAGCATCCTCGTATGAACTTTTGTTGCGAATATTTGTAATCATCTTATATCGTCTATACACGAGGGATTAAGAATAACTTCAACAACCTCTTTGGTATGATAAATTGATGATTAGGTTAAATAAATTGAGAAAAACAGCCACTTTGGTTTCATACAATGACGGCATGGTTTTATATATTGAAAATGTGGATTAATATAATGGCTTCTGGTTAAATAAAAATGACTTCGATTCTTCTATAGTCAAAGTGAACTTATATATAATAGTAACTCACATGGTTAAATTGATTGAAAAAGAACAGCATAAGACAGACACGGCTTTCCATAATCAAGCATTTGAATTTTATTTTAATTTAATTTAATGATTTAAAACTTGACGAAATAGTTTAATGGTCAGGATGACATCACCATGTAAACAGAAAGGGGAATCAAAGAAAAAAAAATTTTATTAGATTTTAATCAATCAAAGTTTTAATGAACAATTTTTTTATTAAAACTGAAAACATAGATCTACTTATAATTCAACATGTTAAAATGTGTAATATAATAGAAAATGTTACAATGTAGCCAAACATCATCATCATCAGAATATTTTTTTTTTTAAATTTGTTTACACAGAATAATACGCTGAATTAACTAGAGAATATCTAAGGTCAAGTTTGTATTGAATTATTGTTGGTAGGGTCTTTGAAATGGTTAAGGAATACCTCGAGCATTTTTATACATGTTTATTTGTTTATTTAGATCTTATCCATCTATGTACCAACAGTTTATACAAACAATGTCATAAAACATGTACACAGCCATTTTATATCAGAATAACAAGAGACAAGCGGACCGTTAACACAAGAAACTAACATCAGGTACATTATGTGGTTAAAAAAGAAACATAATAAGACATATATATGCGATGTATCCTTAGTAGAAACAACAAATTGTAAAGCCTAAGCTATTTACATGATATTCTCACATAAAAAATTACTCATTTCTCACAGGATTCTGATCAACATCGGAAATTGATTGGTATTTCAAATTGATAAAATGAGAAGATTTGATTTAAAAAAAAAAATAGACTGTGATAGAACATCAAAATTAAATAAATGTCATTTGAAATTATTCGACCATTATCATTTAAAAACATGTAAGCCAACAACAATAATATAAATTGGTGTGGACAGAACGGTTTAGTTGAATTTAACTTAAATGTTATGTAATAAACTTGATTACTATATGTACACGTGTTTGAACATAAATCTTTACATTAAATCATTTAATGATGATGGATTATCTTGCATAGTATATTATGACAACTAATCGGGTGCTATCAAGTATCCTGTGAATACAGAATAATGGTTACTATAAAAATTACTAGGATTCTCGCGAATATAAACAATATCATTTTTATCTAAGTGAAATGTTCCAGACATTGTTAACGGTGTCGCTTCAGATTCAAGTTTTTCGTCATCATATGGGTCCCAGTAAATACACAATTTATCACTATAATTGATCTTTAAATATGCTCCAATAAAATCCACTTTAGCAAAATAGTTCTTTGTTAGCGTAACGGAAAAATAATATAATCCAGGGACTTTACAAGTAAATATCCCTGTTGATTTGTTGTATGCATTGCCGTAGTTAATGTATACTGATCTGAACACAAATAAAGGTCGAGAGCTTCTATCTAAGTTGTATGCTGTAAATGCCACGTTTAGTTCTGAAAATAGATTAAATACAGTTTGGTACAAGATATGAAGTAAAAGATATAGTTATACATGTAAAATACTTGAATAAATATTTTGTGTTAAATTCGTTTCCTGTAATGAGATATTGAATGATACCATACCCAAGACTGTTTTGCGACTCTGTAAAGGACGGCATGTCAAAGTTTGCATATTATATGCAAATTAGCCTACTATTGCGTGTGCAGCCCCCTTTTTAACCAATACGCACGTTTATTTTCCCTGTAATTGTATTTAACAAGACTAAGTGTGGAATATTAAATTCGTATAATAGTGCGCTCCATACTATTTTATTCAATTTTTCAATTATTAAAACACGGAATCTCCACAATTTCTACCATCTCTTCTCTAAATTCTAAACGTTATTAAATAGAGCGACGGAATTGAAAACATTTGATATAATAAAAAAGACAAAAAATAAAAGACATATTTACAGATAAGTGCTACCTATTTGTAATTATTTGTAGGGTTCAATGCAGACAACACACTAATGTTTAAACACACTTATTTTAACTCGTTTGAGGTGAATAAGAAAGTTGGTAATGTGTTAGAAATACGAATTTCTAACACACGCGCTAAAATACACACGAATTCCCCACACATGTCAAACAAAACGCACAAATTCCCAACACACGTGATACATATACTTATAAAACAAAAAAACAAGTGTAAGAAATATTAGCTACACAATTATGAGACAAGTGTTATCATCGTAAAATTGTTATTTCAGTTGCATTAAAGGTTCATTATGACTCAGAAATGCCATTATTTTTTTCTCATTTTTATCTTGTTACAGAATACTGTTTTTACATATTTCGCTTTATTTAGATCTTATCTATCTATGTACCAACAGTTTATACAAACAATGTCATAAAACATGTACACAGCCATATAAAGTCAAAATATGGTGAGAATACTACCTTGTTAACATTTTGCTTATTTTGCGAAAAAATATTTCACATCCAGCGCTTCTTTCCTCAGCTGTTAAACATCTTACATTCTCTACATGTATTATTAAAAAAATATTAAACACATGTTGAACATTTATTAAGAATTTCTATATATATGAGTAGAAAGAAGCACTTATGTTAAAACGCGTCACGTTTCGAACTAGCAGCGACTTGAAAATTGGTATGTTAAACCTTGACCATATTTCAGATTGGATTTTGTTGGTTTTATTACAATTGTATCAGCAATTTTTGTAAATATGACGTCAAAGTTGACAACCAAAGGCCGTTTTAGAACTCGACGTCATTGCATATCCTTTGCAACTGTTACGGATATCATAATGACATCGGCAGACAAAATATCTTAAAACCTACAGTATGGAAAATAATTTTTACTTCATGCCGATATAAAGTGTATCGTTTTACGCCGGAAAATGTTTGAACAATGGAAAGATAATTGGCAATTTTGTGTAAAATTTAACGTTTAATTACCTATAATTTTCGACTTTGAAGCGGCTTAATAAATAATTCCTGAAATACATTTTTGATTTTTTTCTTTAAACGTTCTTTAAAACGTATATTCAGTTTAAATGACTAAAATATGGGGGGTATGGAGTAAAATCAACGGAATCTAATCTGACATTTGATCAACCTTTTGCATGCAGAGAAGTGCAGAGTTTTAGTTCTTGTGCAGTGTACTTCCTCACAATTAGCTCTACAAACCTATGAAGTTTCAAGTCAATAGCTTTTAAAGTGTAAGAGAATTGGCTCGAATAAAAATTAAATATTATTAAAAATAAAGGGTAATTTCTCAAACAAGAGCTGCCACAGGTGACAACGAAGCTCGACTATTTAAATACTGGACGCAGTAAAGCATACAAACGTATGAAAAAAAATCAATTATGATATAAATATATTTCTGTATCAGTATCAAGAAAGCACTCAAAGTTTTTTATATTTTTGCGCAACATAATGTGCATAAGATCTTGTCAATAAATGTTAAACGGCTCTTTCTATGCTTTAATGGAAAACCCAAGTAAATCCCTTCCAAAACAAAAATAATAAGAGAAAAATGAATTTGAAGCTGTTAAAGTAAAATTGTTAGTTCAAAGAGGCCGACAAAAGTAACTCCTATTTGTTGAAATTTGACATAAGTTGGGAATGAAGATTGATTTACCGAACACCGATATAAACAAAATAATACTATTCAGTTAAAATGTTCCAAAAATAATTCCTGAAAAATAAGGTGAATCATTTTTCTTAAAATGTTTTTTTTTTTTTTTTTTTTTATTATTTTTCATACCTTAGGGACAGAAGGGTATGAAATAAAACAGCCAAATACGAAACTCGGCGAAAAATGTTTGTATTTGTACACGTATTTCCTTTCGAATCAATGCTTAAATAATCACAAGAAATGAACTGTAGAACTACTTAGGATTTTTCAAAATTTTTGCTACTGATTTTGATAGCAATATCAGTTGTGGTTGATGTTGTTAAGAAAGGGCTTTTCAATTACAACAGGAAATAAATATGTTTAACTTTTTTAAGAAAGGGCCAACATAAAAATTCATATGTTCAAATAATGGTTTAAGAGAAATGTTTAATGCTTGTTACCTAAAAAAGAAGCGATAAATTAGAAATAATATATAATGAAAGAAGTAAAATGTAATCAAAGTAGTATTTTGATTTCCAAACAAAATACTAATTCACTATCACTGTATAACTGTACTTATTGTCAGAGAGCAACAGATAAAAAGGTGGTTCAGGTAATTGGCCAATGAATAACTTTCAGGTATTGTAAAAGAAACATCAAAATTTTAAAAAAAGCTTCTGAGAAATAAAGATAAAAGCATTTCTGAGGATTGATGGGCTTTAAACTATCCTACACTTCATAAAAACACATTCATGTGTAGTTTCTGTTCAAATTAATCAATAAATCTGAGCTAGTTTTTCAAGCATAAAATCTGGGGGAATATTTACACCGGAAAACATGAATTAATCATTTCGACTTCATGATATCATGATTTTTAGATTTCAACAATTTCATTTTAACTTCTAACGTTTTTATCAATTCGAGCTACATAAATTCACCATACCAAATTCATTCAATCATGACAAATTAAACGATACTGTGATTTAAGAAGGTGAATCAGTAAAATTAAAAATGGGAATTCGTAAAATTGATTTTCTGAAGTTAAAATCACATTTGTGTTACTATTAGTTCGAGAAGTTGATTGATGTTGAAATCAGTGAATTCCTAAAGATTATATCGTGAATTCATAAATTTAATATAAAGAAGTCGCGAATTCACAAAGTTCCAATCGTCAATTCGTTAAGTTGTATGATGAAGTTAAATATCTATTCCGTCTTTCGAAGTATGTTGATGTAAATCACTGAGAAAGATTTAAAACAAATCATAAAAAATAAATTGAATCATTAACATATATAACGAATTTGAATAAATTAAAAGGCTGATACATTGAGGTTAAACTGTCGCAAACCCCTGGCATAAAACTGATTTCTAAACAAACAAAAAGACAAACTATAATAACCCTTATGTCATCGGACAGTTGCCACAACATTTAAAAATGTTGATCGATTGTTATTTATTAGAAACATTAAAACTAGATGAAATTTTAACTTTGAAATTTCAATTATTTCCTAAGCAATATAGGCGAAGGTCAAGGCGAAAACTTTTCTACTTTTTTAATGTTTAAATTGCCTTTTGAGCTGAGATATTTCTACGAAAACACCATCATTATTGGCCATCAAAGTAGCCTTATTTGAGCCTAACTTTTTTACAAACGCTTTCCTACTATTTAGACATGCATAGAAATCGTTTCTTCTTTAATGGAGATAAGGACACAAATAAGACAAAAAATAAAGACATGAATTCATGTCGGATGTTTTGTGAGAATTAATCAGAAGTGTGTGAGAGATTCGGCTGAAATTTGCTCATAGTGATAAATTTGTACATGTGTAAACAATTTCATTTCAGTGGAACAATTTAATCATATACCTGCACACTGGCGTTTGTTACAAAGTCTTGTCTCGTCTGGACTTCCGTCACAATATTTTCCTAATAAAGATGGTCTTGGGTTAGAACATGTTCTTAGTCGACTTTGAATTCCACCTCCACAACTGGCACTACATGAACCCCAGTTTTCCCAACTTGACCATTCACCATCTAAAAAGGGAAAACACTTTATAGTATTTTAAAAACAGTTGGCATATCATAATTATAAACTTATAAGTGTATATTCTAAACAAATTTGTAGCAAGACTTATGCCTTTTAGGGACATCAAGTTGCATTGCAAGTTTTAGATTCGTTTTTACAAGTTATAGATCTAATCACATAATATTAGCTATACTTAAAAGAAGTATAATAAAAAATAATGAAAACGTCGTTTTTCATCTATTGCTGTATAATAATAATCTGATAAAATTGGTTTTCTCTATCTTGCTCAAACCATTGTTTCGTTTTAAATACTAATAAGTCATGATTTCTCGAGAATTTTTTTAAAAACAAATGTTGACATGCTGTTGTGCGCCGTTGTTTCCGTTTTTACAGCAAGACCCTGGGTATCAGATACATAGCTTACTGCATTGACAAAAGTCAGTTTTATTAACAAATCAGCTGTAGTATAATCATCAAGTATAACTTGCATGCGGTCATACATAGATCATCTGTGTAATGTACATATGATTATTTTTATGGGGGTTGGGGATGAGTTTTATGTCGTACCAACAAAATAGACGTCACATGGCGTTTATCCAGCTTCACTGTTGAAAGAGCCCCCGGACTCTCCTCCGTGAATTTTTAACCACGCACGAACGGGCATCTGAGTAAAACCACTAACATTTAGGTTTGAAATAAAGACCTTAACCATGGATAGATATGCAAAAGATCGTTCACTTTTTATCCTGTCATGTTTATTAAGACGATGAAGGATAATTCGTATTGGAAAATATGGTGTTTTGCGCAGTTTATCATTATACAATGAATAATTTTCTGATAAACTCGCTTTGGGGGTAAAGGGGAAACCGCACAAGGTACTACAAATTCGCCATGTTTTATGAAAACGATTATTTCTGAATATAAATAAAATGCACCGAATTATATGTAAAATAACACTTGCTAAAAAAATCATCTAATTTGAAAAACTGCAATTACTTACACGCGAATATACTATATTTGTATATACTTTTTTAAACTGTTATTGATTTTTTAGCCGCAACATAATAATGAGATAAAGTATGTTTACCAATGTCATATCCACTTAAATGTGTTGCGTATATTATAAAACCATGATATTTATTCAATCTGTGACAAAAAACAATTCAACATTACCAATAGATCCGCAGGTTTCTTTAGGGAGATTATTTAAAAAACAAGACTAAAGTACAGTACATTTGGTTAACATTATATTAACTTTGTAAAAATATAAACCAATTGCTCTATCACTTACAATGTTATTTTGTTCCACAACACAAAAATCAATATATAGATTTAGGGAAATGTTCGAAACATCAAAGTATTTATTTTATATCTAATTTAATATGTCACTCTAAGTAGACTAGTTTGGAGCGAGTTACCCATTTTGTTTTGTTTGATAGGTCTGGAAACAGCGAATAAAATTACCTTTTTTATTTGCGTCAGACAATTCTTCCGTTAGATCATGTAAAGACTCGGTTATGATGTTAATTTCTTCATTAATTGTTTTGTTGATGTTCATCGTAACTTCCTTCATCGCCTCAATAGACTTGTCACATCTTTTAACAAACGTTTTATTATATTTTTTCATTAGGCTTTCTGTTTCACTCCTTATTTCACTAACAGAATTGTTAATGTTTTCCAATGCATTTTTTAATACAGTTTCAAACTTTTTCCGGTTTCGCTTTTCTGAGGCTAATGTTTTCTTCACAATCGTCCCTAACAAATATTTTTCGGCATCACTTTTCTTTAAACCTTGGACTTGGAGAGAAAGTGTAGTCAGGTTTGTTTCAATTTGGTCTAAAAGTTTGTCGGCATCACTTTTCTTAAAATCTTGAACTTGGAGAGAAAGTGTCGTCAGGTTTGTTTCAATTTGGTCTAAAAATCCAGATTTTTCAGTTGCTTGAGCAACGTCTGTACTATTCGCATCGTTTATTTTCAAGAGTGATGCAATACTTGTTACTTTAGCTTCTAACGAATCAATTCTAACTGAATCTTTATTGTCTCTATCTTGATCACCAGGTGTCGATTGGCTGCCAGGTTCTGTCAAACGAAATAACATATGTTTTATATGTATAAAGAATGACCGGCTTTTTTCTTTTGTATTCGTGGCATGCTAATGTTTAAGCCCAGGACTATGTTATTTGAATAACCTTTGTAGATAATGTTTTCGCTAAATATTAAGCTCAAGGCAACGCGATTCCGGAGAAGATGTTTTGAAAATTGCACCGTGTAAATCTGTATCAAGCTACATAAGAACACATTTTGGAAAGCTTTATTTCCAAATTGTGAAAATTGGCCTAGATGATTCAGACGGGCTTTTTAAGGAATTATGAATGACAGGCTATCACTGCATGTAAGCTAAAATGTTAAAAACGCAGTTTTTTTCTCGAAAAAATTGTTCTCCTGTTAAGTGATGTACGTATTAAAAAGGTTTAACTTCATTTTTGCCATCCAATGCTATTTCTTCCACATGACAATGTTTGAACATTCGTTAAATCTATTATCTACATATTATGAAGCACAATTTGGTCCTTCTATAGAAGAATACTTGTACATGTACTCATTTCTGAGACTTAATTAAGTTGCCTTTAAGACATTGTACTAAAAATTTCTTTTTAGACCATTCCTTATTACATTGTTTTGCTTTCCAAGTGCAAAAGATTAATTTTGAATTAGAAATATTTAATCATTATAAAACAAGAACGTGTTTGTTAAACACAAAAATGACCCCGGTCCTGGGGCCCGTCTTATCAACGGTCGTACGACCGTTTTTATCGTACGATTGTTGTACGTCGATCGTACGATTTTGACGTTGTCTTATCAAACGTCGCAGAATTTTATAATCGTACGATTATCGTAAGATCGTGCATTTTTTTCTACGATCGCTGAGAAGCAGTCGTAGATCAAACAAATGTCTGTCGTGCTTCCTGCAAAAGCTACAAGGTCGTAGAAAAAGTAGGCCTTTCAGGCATCAAGTGCAACTATTGGATTCCCCAAGTGGTCATTTAGTTGTGGCCGACTATCAGCTTGGCTAATTTTCATTAAAAACAACCTATGACCTTTAGATCTTGATTAAGTTTCAACAACTTAATTGCATATTATACTTTAATTAACAAATTTTGGAACAAATTTTGAACAAACGATTCATAAAATAAAAATGTTGCTTACAATAATTCTCAACATGAGAGAAAATAATATCAATTATAAAATTAATAAAAATAAATAAAAAATATAAAATTATAAAATTCCTGTGTTACGAAAAAAAAGAAGATATTTTTCGAGGGGATGGGGCTGTCAGTGGGGGGATAATGGAACGGTTCGAGTGAGAACTGTCAGACGGAGGAACTGGTTAGGATGAGAATAGTATGTTATTCATCCGATACATCTGTTTTTCTTTTTCTTTCTGAAAGATGAGCAGTTTGTTCTGAAATGTGCAACAGTAAATTCATGTAAAAATAGAAATTAGAAAGTGGTAAATGATGATTTTTCTTTATATTGCTTTAATCTAGCCCCAATAAACACATTTATATACAATTTAAGACTGTTATTAATTTTCTTAAGTACTTAACAACAAATAATGTAAAAAAATCAAATATACTACATGTACAAGTTGGCTTGTAATACATATCTGCAAAATTCATTTTCACTATATATCTATATTGTCTGCGTTGCTCGCAGGTACTTTATACGCTATATCGTGTGCAATTTATTCCAGGTTTATAAGCAGTATAGAACAGATAGTAAAATGCAGACAATATAGAGTATATAGTAATTGCAAGAAACGCAGACAATATAGATATTATATATATATATATAGTGATTTGATATTGTATACATATTGTTTTCTATTGATAATTATATTATATTTTTACATCACATTGTTGTTTTTTTTAAATAATTACAATCGCTTTATAACATTGTTTATTTAACTACATGTATTTAATGATTATTCTGTAGATGGACTATGTATAAAAATCAAATCAAAATATGTTCTGTTTTCTAAATTTGTTTTGAAATTTACTTTATTGTCCCCATTTAAATTCTGCTTATTAAAGTTAAAAAAAAAGTTAATTGTATGTCAAAAAAAATTTAATATCACTATTTATTATTCTTAATTTATATCATCTTAATAATAAAATCACAAACAATAGTTTTAATCTCTAAAATTCTAATCTATTATCAAATATTAATACAAATGTACCTACAAATCTCTAATTTCTTAATTTTTTTTATCTTAAACATACAGATATAAACAGCTTTTAAGTATCTTACTTACACTTTCTTATTCTATATTGTCTGCGTTTTGTGAAAACAATCTATAACTATATAACTGCGTTTTACTATACATGTATATCCTATATTGTCTGCATAAGCGTCTGCGTTTTAGACCGACCCGTGATACTGCGCAGGCGTAAGAATCTTACGTCTATGCAAATAGTTGATTTAAGATTAAACGTACGACCGCGTTGATAAGACAGTCTTACAATCGAGCGTACGACAATCGTAGATCAAAATCGTACGATAAGATTTCAAAAATCGTACGATCGTTGATAAGACGGGCCCCAGGTACGTACAGATAGCAACGGAAGGAAATTTGCTTAAAAAAGTAAAACACGGTTATAAAACTTGGCAGAGTTATAACCTTATGTTATTGTAAAATTGTGTAATGAAGGTGAAAAATAATTCAGGTTACTAATTAAAGTTAATGAAATATAATCAAATGCAAGACATAAACATTCAACCAAGTGACCCCAAACTCCACCCAAAATTAAAGGACCACCTTGGGTTTGTTCTTTCAAAAATGAAATACCTTTAAAAATGGCTGTATAAAAATGGTAACAAATTATTGTAAGCACAGGTGCCCTTGACATTGTTAAGCCCAACAATTAACCATCCAAGCTATGTTCCTTTAAAATATGAACAATATATTTTATAACATCATTCAATGCATGATAATGTCACAGTCTGGACACGAATGCGTACCTTCAACCTCTAAGTGAGACGTTGACTTTTTAGGTATTGATGTCAAGGAGAAGATGCGGTTAACCTTTTTCCCTATGTCTAGATCTGGCAGGACACTGGTACAATTTCATCAATACCTACCCGATAGACAAGGAGAAGATGCGGTTAACCTATTTTTCTATGTCTAGATCTGGCAGGACACTGGTACAATCTTAGCACGTTCAAAAAGGACTGCCCAAAGATCATGTCTATAAAGTTTTATAAACATTTAAAGGGCTATTAAGGAATAATTTTCTTTTTTTTTAAATTTTAGCTCTGGGGCCATTTTGTTCAGCATATTGAAGAATTTGAGAATTAATTTAGAAAACTATCCAAAGATCATTCCTGTAGAGTTTCATCAAGGAGTAGATATCATTTAAAGGTTTTTCTATTTTTAACTCAACCGGTCATTTTATTCATTAGTCTAGAACAATTTTAGCAATTTCTAGTAAAGACTGCCCGATGCTCATTTCCTTAGAGTTTCAACAAAATCTATTGAGCAATTGAGGATATGCTATCATTTACCACTAAATAAATCCTAAGCGAGGTCTATTCATAAGCATGCTGTATATCAAGATTGATAAGAATTTATCAAGTTGGATTATAATATCTCATTGACAACTCTAGTTATTGACCGGAAACCGTTTTAGTATTTTTATTCAGAGTGACATAGGCCCAAGGGAACAATCGACCGACAGCAAGCAACCTCGTTAGCGGAGTTAGGGGGCTTTGACGAAATCTTGCATTTTCCAGAACCATCAATAAATCGGAAAAATGGATGGCAAAGTTATATAACTTGGTAAGATCATGTACTTTGTAATAATAAGTGTGTAAATTCTGACGACACTACAACAGATAAAATTAGATACAGAATAATAAGTTACCACCAACTTGCAAGTTGAGTTTATTCATATCCGTTTTCTGTGTTAAAAAGGGCAATACCTTGGTAAAAATGAAACTTGCCAGTATTATGTACTTTGTATTTATAAGTAAGTTAGTAAATTATGAAGCCATAATTACAGGTAGAACTTAAGATATATCCAATTGTCCGTTTGAGGTTAGCTTCGCACGAACAGACTGGCAGACTGACAGATGTTTCAATCACCTTATATTTACAGGGACATAAAAAGACACGAATCATTAAAGACTATATTTTTATGTTACAATAATGAAAGCAATAATAAATTACCTTGACTTGATGCCTTGTTGCTTGTTCCTGTCAAATGCCTCTTTAAACTTTCTATTCTCCTTAGCCGAGAATTCATTTTAGAAATCTCGAACTTATTTTGAAACATCTCTTTCTGGATAAATTCTTGTAGCTCCATTTGTAGCTCCATGATAGTTTTACAATCACAGTCGGTGTCACATTTCATCCCATAAACAATTATTGAAACCATGATAATGAGAAGTTTAATTTTATCCATTTTTTGAATGCTTTCTTTCACAGATATTACGTCTTATTTCATTTGCTGCAAATAATATACTACGTAGCCAAGAAAGAAAACCCCAGCTGTGTAAATGAGTTCCAGACAAATGCCTGCATCCAGAACGAATTTTACCTTCACCGACTTTTATATTAGCGTGCAAATATCCGTGGAAGAACGTTTACATCAAAAGCACTATTTTCTTCTTTGAAAATAACTTTTTTTCCTAAATGCTGCACTTTCTTCTGAGAAAGAGCCAAACGTGTGCGATAAGATAATACAAAATAAAGGAATAAATAAAGCAGATAAAAAACAAGATAAGGCTAGGTTTCTTGAATGCAGATACCTTTAAAATGCAGAACAAGATCAGATTAATTATGCCTAAAAAATGTGATTTGAGGTCTTCCCAGAAAAAAAACTTTTTTTGATGCAAATTCAAGGTCACATTCAATTTCCCTTTACACTCGCTTATCATAACAAATAATAACAAAATGTCTAACACAAGTCAGAACAGATGTATGCATGTATTATATTTTTCATAACTGCAGAAAATCTTGTGAAGGGGAAAGCCAAGCTTTCTTGCTGTAAGTTTACTCATAATATTTATGTATCATAGTAAATTTAATAGATCTATATATCGTTTCAACTTGAAATAGACCTTGCCTTTAGATATTGCCAACATTTTAAAGAGAACCACATGCAAACTTTTAATTTCTTCGTTTTGAAGTTTTCATTCATTATTATGTAAATGTGCTCAAAATTAATACACTAGGCAGTCACAGGAACAAAACTTTTCTCCTTATAAGAATAAAATGGTGTTTTTCAAAGCTGACCCACCTGGGTTAGGTTAAAGCGTATAGATTTAAAGTGCATGTCAAATGAATGACTTAGACTTGTTTTCAATCATACAATATCCGCAATATCTGTCATTGTAACTTCCAGGTTGTTTTTTTCATGTCACATGACTTGTTTTGAAACAATTTGGTGATTGTGTCAGCATCTAAATTTCATTAAAAAATATTTACGCTTCAAATCCAAAATATATAGAATTTATACAGAAATTCATGCTTGAACTTTAAAATGTCATTTTCAGCATGATTTGAGTACATATTTCATTTTAATATTTTTGTCATTAGTTTGCCCGAGAATCCCTTAAAATTACGCCCTATTTCATTATTGTCATGATTATTGCATTAACTACAATAATATTTAATATAATCCGATAGAAATAAACGACATATATTATCTACTTTAATTTTTTCGATATACATGAATTTACCTCGATATAAATGCATATTAACGGAAATCGCGCTAATCTACTTTTATCAGAGTAACTTTCTGCTAATCGTCTAAATGATACTTTTGAATATATAAAGAAATGGAGGCCATTGAAAAAAAAACGGTATGAAATTTGAACATCAACATTTACCTTGTATAATTTTGTCACAAATATCCTATCTTTAAGTTAAAGCCTTTGAAGAATCCGGAATAACTATTGAAATTATTTATTTAGTACGCCTGGCGAAATAAATATTTATACAACAGTGTCAGGATTACGCTTAAAAACCCAGATAGTGTACCAGCTAAGAACTATCACTAATAATTAAGTTGCATTTATATGTCCAAAATAAGGTTTATGTCAATGACCTATTTTTTTTCTAAATGTTGGAATGCATTGAGATTAGCTTGAAACATAATTTTAACAATCAATGTAATGTACATCTCTATGACAATATATATTAGAACACTCAAATAGTTAATATTTTAAATAGAAAAAAAATATTGCTGATGCACCACGAATAAGCATATAATTTACCATCACGCTGATAAGAATATTGTATTTATATCACATGTTTTAATTTAACATTTAAAATATAGCATAATCTGGCAAAAAATCCTGAGAAAATCAAAACAAGCAGTGTATGTAGTGTAATAGAATTTTGTAACCAAAAAAAGTATGAGCAGAAGTAGGTCAACAATTACTTGAAGTTTATCAAAATGCACCCGACACGGGATATTAAATTGAAATAGGTCTTTTCTACACAGACATGTCATTTCTCAACACTAACCATAAACGCAAAGTCAAAGTTGTACCTGACACATTTACGACGATTTATGCATGTCTGTCAATTTAATGGGCAGATTTGCGGGATATAAAATATTGCATAACATATCCTCTAAGATGAATTTATTAAAGTCTCACTCTACATGAAAACAGATGCATTTACATAGTGGCAATCATGCAAATAAACTAAAAGAAGAATGAGGGAACAAATAGTTTACATTTTTTTAACACTTTGTACAGCCCACAAAAAGCCCATTAAGATTCAACGAATAGGGAACAATACATACCGTACACATTGTATACACATTTAACTTTCAATCCATTGAACTAATAGAAAATTTACCTTTTTAATATCATATTATATATTTAAATGCTGAACTGTTATAACGTAAATTTTGGAATTTTTTTTGTTACTAACATTTCGCGAAGTGTACGATGATTCTTATGAAATATTCGAAAGCATCCGTAAAAATTATCTGTAAAAGTCACCGGCTATACTCGACATTATAATTATTATTTTTCAAACTCGTGAAATGTTCGATTTCCGGTTACGTCACTTTTTATGACTGTTTATATGAGTAAATTATACAATATTGTTGACTGTTTAAAGATCGTATAAAGCTTCTTTATCAACAAAAATGACAACAAAATCTCATAGCATGATATTTTGTAATATTCAGTATTTAATTTTACGGTTACCAATTACCAGTAAAACACAGTGATAATGACAGGCCTTACATCTCCAAAAACAAAACATTGCTGTGATACAGTGAAGAATATTTGCAAGCAAGAGCTGATACCTCGAACTAATGCGCTGTATTTTTTTTCATGTAAATAAAAATTTTAATCCGATTTTGCAACACAAATAAAGAATAGTGGCTATAATTATTAAGAAAGTACAATTTTTCTTCTACTATTTAATCATGCTTTACACAATACAAAAATATAGTGCCTGTGTTTAAGAGTATACATCTCCTACTTTTGCAATGTCTCTACGCAAAATTCATATTGATATATGAAATTACTTGCACCAATTCTGCTCGTAAAAGATTATTCTGAAATATTTGTCAGGGGCAAAATCGTATTTGAAAGTTTTTATTTGATCTGTACTTGTCTCCAACTAACCCATTCGGTTTCTCAGGCAATATCTCAACTCAAATTTTGTCCGTTATGTTTCAGAATTTCAGGTAGCATACTACTAAATAAATCACATTTATAAAACTGTGCTTCAACAAAACAAGTTCCCCACAATTATACTGGTAAATCTTCGAAGTTATTATTCCTGTTCTTTCAACTATTACTGCAAAATCATTATTATACGTGGTGCACTAAATTTTCCAGTTTCGTGGACATGGCAATCAACGAAATTAAAATCCAATTAAATAGTTGCATGCCGTACCATTACTTTTATTACAATATTTGCATTTCAGCTGCTTTTCAATAAAATTGACAACTCTCGAATGTGTATAACTAAGAAAATTAAGTAAAAATGTTCTTTTTGAATAATGATAATAATAATAATAATAAAAAAAAAACAAAAACACACACACAAATACCGATACAAATATTTTCTTCTTCTATTTTGATTAACTAATACAGTAAATCTAACTTTTATCATAGTTTGGAGACCTTTCTGTTGAAAATGTGTCAGGTTTAAATCGTATACATATACATGCACAGTGCGTTAACTGGAGTGCGGGTATTAGTTACCCGCACTCCAGAGCATGCCAATTGATTGGCTCATTTTTGCTGGGGTTTACATATTGTGACGGCAGAGAAAGGGAAAGCGACAGAAATGTCATATTCAGATGTTCGTTCATTGGTTCATTTTTGCCGGGTTTTCATATTGTGACAACAGGGATTTTGACTATGATACAAAAGAGAAAGAACACCAAAACACTCGGCAATCTGATTTATACTCGGGGGCTACGCCCCCTCGTACAAATCAGATAGCCTCGTGTTTCGGTGCTATTTCTATTACATATACTCGATACATTTACACTTACATATACATTTATACATTCTTTGTTAAAATTGACAAACATATTCTTTGGAAGGATACGACATACAAATTCTTAAAACAGAATCTTTGTAAACATAAGAAAAACATATTCTTTGTAAATATTAGGCAAACAGATTTTATGTAAAGATTTTACACACTTATCCTATGTTAACATTAGACAAACAGATTATTTGGTAAGATGAGACAAACGTTTGTTGAAAGATTAGAAAAAAAATAACATTTTCTTAGGAAAGATAGGACAATCATTTTCTTTGAAAAAGATAAGACTAACAGATTTAATTGAAAGATTGGACAAACATTTCATATGCTTTGATTAAACAAAACATTATGTGTAAAGATGAGTCAAACATTTTCTTTGAAAAAAATTAGACAAACATATTCTATGGAAAGATAAGACAAACAGACTATTTGTAAAGACTAGACAAATATTCTCTTTGGAAAGATTAGAGAAACTGAATCTTTGTAAAGACTGAACAAACATTGAGTATAAATTTATACAGTCAGATGTAGTTAACATTTTTCAATGCATAAAATATCATACCAACTGGAAGGAATACCTTTGAATTATCTTCAATATTAATGTGGCCAGAGCAAAGCGTTATCTTCAGTCTTCGATATCGACAGGTAAATGATGCAATTGAATTATCGAAAAAGCAGCCGATGTGCATCATTTCGTTTTCTTAATGTGAAGATATGTACATAAAACGCTTTTACGGGGTTCACAGAATGTTTGCTACGAAACCTGCCACCATTACTCATACACAAGATCAAAAATATTTCTTAAGATCCTAAAATGTTTGATGTTGAATTATCATATATCTTGATAGCTTGGTATTTCTTGATAATCATCAATGTTTATGTTTCTTGGTGTAGCGAAAGTTAAGAGAATTATAATTTCCTACAAAATATAAACGAAGTTTGATCTACAAAGAAATCATTGCACGTGACCCATGTGTCATGATTAGTGACTAACAAATTGTTTTCTGAAGACAGACTTCTACGAATCAAGCGGTTTAAAGTAATGTAACATGATCCTAGAAATTTCAATTTTTAGCATTCTCTTAACACAATTATTTGCCTTAAATGCTACTTATTTACACTCAAGTCATCTTTGATACACTCAAGACACCTCTTATACAATTTTTTTACATGTTATACCATTGTCATATATTATACTATTCGTTTACCTCTAATAAAAACAAGCAATTATCATAGTATTGCAAGCGATCCATAAATCCCCTACTGGTTAGGAATGTGTTAAATTGCCCTGCCTAGTAAGGAAATTGTGTTTATATAACAGGTAATCAAAATATATTCTTTTCGCAGGATGAAAATGAATAACTTATGTTTCAACTTTTCTCTACTTAAATGTAAATTTGTTGGAAAAGTTCCAAGCTCTTTAAAAGTGATCCCAGGAAAAAGTTTTTAGGAAAGACAGACTGAAAGACACTCTGAGAGTAA